TTGGGAAGAGGAAACTAAAACCAAGTTCTGGAAGGCAGTTTTAAAGGTACATGAGGTCCAAAATCCTAATCTCTGCAAATACACATGTGGCTCCACACCCCAGGAAAAGAGTAGCTGCTTAAGTGGTGTGCAGGGCTCTCGGGGTGGGAACATCTGAAATGTTACATCATTTGGGAAAAAGCTCAGTGAAAACAATTAGGCAGACTCTCCTGTGAGGCCTCCAGCTTGGTTCCCAGAACACAGAGTAAGATCTGATTAACACAAAGGCTGTTACTTGAAGACTGTTCTAGAGAAAAGTCAATCAAAACTCTGACTCACACACAAGGAATGTTTGGCAAAGGGGGGAGAGAGAGAGAGAGAGAGAGAGAGAGAGAGAGAGAGAGAGAGAGAGAGAGAGAGAGAGAGGGGATGTGTGTGTGGGGGAACCTGTGTGTCCTTGTCACTACCAAGTGTGGACAGACATGCACTTGTGCCCACAGTCTATGACAGGTGTCCCTCCTCCACTGTTCTCCACCTTTATTTTTTGGCCGGGGTCTCTTACCAAACCTGAACCTCCCAAGATGCAGCTAAGCTGGTTACCAATGAGCTTTAACGATCCATCTGTCTCCAGCAAATCCTTCCCTCCAGTGAAGGGTTACAGGGTGTACCACAACCCCTGCCTTTTTATGCGGGTTCCAGAGATCCGCTTATAAACTGAGCAGTATCTCCAGCCCAAGACATCTTAACAGTTTAACTCTGAAATGTAAATGGTTAGGCAAAAACCAACACCCAGTAGAAAACATTCTTCAATATTACTGATAGTAAAAGTTAAAAAAGATGAGGGAAAAAACAAAGAAATAAAAAAAATCTCCTAAAGGCAATCCAAATATCTTGGGGGGGGGGGGGGGGGCGCACGCCTTTGATCCCAGCACTTGGGAGGCAGAGGCCAGTGGATCTCTCTGAGTTCAAGGCCAGCCTATTCAACACATGACTGACTTCTAGGACAGCCAGGGTTACACAGACCCTGTCTCAAGAAAAGAAAAACAGCTACCCATGAAACAAGAACAGGATGATAGGGTGTTGTAACAAAGGTACATCCAAAAGAAGGGGGCATGGGGAGGAACCCCTTTGAAAATGAAAAGTGACACATTTCAAAGATCAAGTAAAAACTAGTACCATGAAGAAAAATCCTTTGCAGGTTTCTGTTGGCGCGCAGGGCTGGAGAGATGGGCTGGTTAAAAGCAGTCAGTGCTCTTCCAGAGGCCCTGAGTTGCTTGCAGCATCCACATGGGGCAGCCTAACAACCTTTTGTAACTCTAGCTCCAAGGGACTCCAAATGCACCTGAGGGAACCCGCCCTTAAGTGTATGCCCATGTGCAGACACATACACCCACACATAACTAAACATAATAAAAAGAAAAAAGTTTCTATTGGCAATAGCAGAGAGAATGTACAAACAAACCCAAATATCCAGTAATCCAAACGATGACAGGAAACAAAGAGAAAAAACAAAAAGCAGAGAGAGAAAAAAAATGCTAAGCCTTCATTCCAAATATATTAATAATTACATTAATGTAAACAGTCCAAATATAACTGAGAGAAATGGTCAGAATGGATTAAAAGGGGAGTGCTGTGCTGAGTACAAGAAATGCATTTTATTATGCTATAATTAGCACAGGTGTTAGGGACAGGAAAACGCACACCCGACAAACATTAAACAAGAAACCTATGTAGTAAGAAAAGAGAGAGTTATACCATCGTGAAAGGGTGGTTCAGCAAAGCACAATCCTTTAACTGTCTGAAAATAATAACCCTGAAACGTGTGGAACAGAACTGACAGAGCTGAGGAAGACACAGGCACAGTCACAATGCCACCTGGAGAGTCCACGCTTCTCTCCACACTGAACAGAAGAACGAGCAGCTGCAGAGAGAGCCCCATCCCCACGGGCATGCGGCCGCGTG